CCTAACCCTAATGTGAAATTTACCAATGATGCAACCTAATCCTAATATTTAAATCTTTCTCTGCCCCTTTCCCTATCCCTAATCTAACATTTAATCGTATCTCCACCAAACAATAAATGACCCCCTAGAACTTTGTACTTCCTTTATGGGCCGAGCTCTCCCAGTGTCCAGATCTTGATGATGAGAGTACGTGTTTAAGATTTATTTTGAACTGTAGAAAAGCAAGAACAGAGAGAAATTCTTAGTGATTACATCAAATAAAACTATACCAGCTATACGTCTGATTCTAACATAGGTTATTTCTATTCAATTTACAATATGCATACAGTAAGCAATAGAAATGCTTTAATAGTCCCTGTGTTTTTGCTTTATTCTGTGCTTAACCTTGAACCTCTATGTTGTATCATTTTGTATATCAGCAATATAAAGAAGAATATGTCAGGATAAAAAGCAAGTGCATCCACAAGCTGGGATTCATTGCACATTGATCCCCTGCACCAAGACAGGATTGTGCAGTGGCAGTAATTGAAGTAATCAACTCAGTAGGATGCTGGGTCTTTATGTTTAAGCTAAACAATAATTGCAAAGCATTTCTGTAAAAGTGCATATGTTTGTAACCATTTCTATAAACTGCCATATTGCATGCAACCAAATAATATATGTAATGTGCAAATCCCAACATCCAGCAGAGAGCTAGCGCACCCTCTTAAATATGTTTCTTTTTAAAGGTGCTAATTGTTTTTGTGAGTACAAGAAAAATCTGTTAATAGTCACTTACATACAGTATAATGCTTAAGAGGCACACTAATGAATATTACCCCCAATGCATCTTAGTCTGTGGGTTTTATGACCTTTAGGCACTTCAAGGGCACGTTGGTGACATTTTAATAAAAAAAATAAGATATAATACTTTCCACCAGCAAACATACAGAAAGTATACATTATGTGCTTAGAGCAGATGAGGATAAATCACACAGTATAAAAAGTGATGCTTAATTTGCATTACCTGAGATCAGTCCTAGACCATGCTCAGACAACCCTTTACTTTCTAGCAGCAGCCTTTAAATATGAAGCCAGAAATTTAATTTTGGTTGGCCAACACTTAACTATGGCCTTTTAGTGCCACTCACCTATGCAGTTTTTTAAGCAGAAGGACTAGTAGGCATCTTGAGCTCCTTTCCATGCCTATATGCCTGGCTGTTAACCCTATCAAATGCAGAATTAACAGCCTTCCCCCTCTGTATTGCTCCCAGCTGCTCCACCTGTTCTGCTACCTTTGTCATGTCTGGCACAGACACGGCATAGAAAAATGAGACGATTGCTCCTTATTTTTAAAGGGGCTTTTTAGAATAGAGGTACAGGTTTTCATGTCTTTGTTTAAAATGCTTCCTAAAAGAACTAAAACCCACACAAATCATGTGGTGTTTATATTTTGCCCTAAATAAGTAATATCAGAACTTGTGCCAAGGATCCTTATGTCTGCCGAGTCCTACACTTAATCCTTTTTACAAAGCACAAAGGTCACATACTTGTAATAATTGTCTTTTCATTGATATGGAGCTACAAGCTGTCAAATGATACTTTGTGTATGCGCATAAGGTTTTTTTGTTTTTTTAAGTGACTAAATATATCCCCTTGGATACCCATAAAGGGACTCAGAGGGATGCTTAAATATGGGCATGCGAAACTAATATATATA